TACACATTTTTTTATTAGGAAAATTTAAATTAGCACGCTAGGAAATTCAAATAGAAGTATATCATGTTACTCTCTAAAGGTCGCAGGACAGTTACAATTTACAACAGTTCAAAATGCCGTAAATGTAAGATGTCAAAATAAAATTTGTTTTGTCTACTTCTGCAAGTACTGTTGTTTAAATTTTTCAATCAGTGATAGTATTACTTACATTTTGTTATCTTATTACCGTTGTATGTAAAAAATTTGTCATTATATATTAAAGAATTCAAAAAATTTTAAGTCTAACCTTATTTTCTCATACAAAGTGAAAACGTTTTTTTCTATTTAAGTTAAGTTAAGAAAACGTGAATATTAAGTAATGGAATCTGTGGAATTAAGAAGTTCATCTGAAGATGATGATGATGATGTGTACTGCAATTCTGTTGCAAAGCTGAAAGGTACATTACTGTTAATATCATTTTTAAATAAAATTTGAACAAAATCAATATAAAATGTGTTTCACAAATATTTACAGTTTTGAAGAAAAAGCAGATATCACACTGTAACAATGAAAAGGATGAGAAGAACAAACAAGAGAATAAAGAAAAGTTGAAGCACGTCTGATACTTATAGAATAAAGATAAAAAATTAGTTTTTATAAAATTTTATAATTTACAATTTCATGTATCATGTTCATTAATATTTTTTTGTTGTTGAAAAATTATAACATTAATATTTCTATTATATATTTTACATAAACTATTATCTTACAGAATTGAGGTTCCTAAAGAAATTGTAGCAGTACAGAGAACAAATACAAAAACAAGAAGGAAAACTGCTTCAAGACGTAGATCAAGAAAACAAAGACAAGTAAATTAATTTGCAAATATTTTATATGTAATAATATACAACAATAATTATACCTTACAATTAATAATTCTAAAAATTATTAATTAGGGTAAAATAAAATTGGTGTTTTAGATAAAACTATAATATCTCATGTTGAATGTCTTATAAGGAATATTTATTTTCAAATTTTATATTTACTTCTTCATCTTTTTATAGAGAAGAAATCAACAGGGATCAGATTCAGATCTGGAAATTGTTTCTGTAGAAGAAAAACCAAATTCATCTGAAAATGATGTGTTAATAGTTGAAAAAAATGTGGAGGAGAAGGCACAATCTAGTGAAGATGAGAATTATGAAATAAATATTAAAGTTATGTGGCGATCGAAAGACTTACATCGTTTGAATATGTGTCGAGTATGTAGTCATGAACACATAGTTGCAATTTATAACATCGATATTACGAATACATACTTATTAACTACATAAAACAATTTCAATTTTACTACTTGTTGTGTCTATTTCATGAATAAAGTTAATTGTATTGTTTCAGAATGAAAACTTTCGACGAATTTTTGAATATTTTGCTAATATAGAACAAGTATCAATAGATGAAATCTTAATAACAAAAAAAGATAAAATTATTAAAAAGAATGATACTCCAGTTACCATAAATTTGTCTGTAATAGACATTCTTGGTAAACTAATCATTAAAATTTTGTATTTTTTTATGTACAATTCTTTAAAACTGTTTTTCATAAAAATTAAATATTTTTACAGAGGGAGGTATTATTACAAAAGACAGTACTATGCTTCAAAAGAATGCAGGAGGAAAAGACGAAAACGTTTGTGTTATAAAAGTACAAACAACAAACAAAAAAAGCTTAACAATTTCTGTAAAACGAGATGAAAACTTCCAAAATCTTCTAGAGAAATGTGCTCAAGAATTAAATGTTGAGGAATCGAAAATTAAATTATACTTTGATGGAGAATTGATTGTAATAACAGATACTCCTGATTCATTAGAAATAGAAGACGAAGCTTGTTTCGATCTCCGACTGTCTTGTTAG